TATACACCCATAGGCTGTTATTCAACAAATAGATTTGAAACTGCCTATAGTATTTGTCGTATACTTGCTTACTCTCACTGCTGTATGAACCCTCTGTTGTATATGCTCTCACAAAAGTTGCGAGGACATCTTTTGAAACTTTTACGTTGTGAGAATGCCAGGCAGAAGAACAGGGAGAGAAGCAATGTCCAGAGCACTTCTGCTATTCAGAATGGAGCTTTTATTGCTCAAAACTCTGCTGTTATGTTGGAACTACCCTCCAAATAGAAACTGAAACATTTATTCAATCTGTAATTACTTTTATGCAATATTGTTTGGATTTTGGATATTGTTTGTTTGTGTTTTTTTTAAATATTTTGCTCAGTTCCTTAAAGTATGTGGGTGTATTTGGGTCTCTATGTATGTAAATATATTTAAAGGGCCAGTGTATAAGATTTAGTGGTATCTAGTGTTGTAGTTGCAGATAGCAACAGTTTCACTTCATCCTCCCAATCCAATGTGCCAAGTAAATGCTGTGTGAAAACAATCTAAAGCATGCCAGTGTGTATGATGATGTGTAGTAATGCTTTCTCAGACCTTATGAATGAACTTTATGAATGAGCTGTTTTACTGTAAATTTGTTTAATAAATTTACGCTGGAATCTAGTTTAGCTGTTTTCATGTCTATTTTTTTTAACCAAATATTGTGGCATGGTACTTCCCTCTGGGAAGGGAAAAGTATTACATTAACTCAATGAGACACTCATACAACTACTGAGTAAAACAGCAAACAGTACCTGGAGTCACACTACATGTTCAAGGTAAGGTCTCTTTGGTATTTTATCTCTTTATGTTACAGCACATTCATTCATGCATTAATTTACTTTGCAATGTATGAATGAATAAAATAGAATGGAAGATTTAAAAGATACAAGAATATGGAAATCGAAATACGAGCCTATGAAATGAAACGTGAGAATATTGATTCAGATTCTGAGAGTATGGATTAAAATATGACATGGATAAAACTACACTAATAAATCACTGAATCAAATGTGAGAATATTGAATACTTGAGAATATGACATTAAATTGAATATGATCAATGTATGTATGCCTGTATATGTTAATGAGGTGTCTGCTGTGAATGACCTTTGATTCACAAAGAATATATTGTCATGAATTTTATTTGCTGATCCCAATTCAAAAAATGTGACAAAAGCAAATACATAATCCTGTACTTCCTCAAAGGTGCTAGGGGTTTGATAAATGCTCTGTTTTTTTCTATTCACAGTAAGTATTGCAAACCGGGTTGGTGTTCACATCCCCCCACCTCCCATGTGTAACATAATGAAAGCTTCCAAACTCACATAGGAAGACCTGTTGCATTGATCACAGACGGAACAACAGCTAATTTGTGTTTTCAGATTTATTGAAATAAGGGCACCTTCACCGTCAACTTTAGGCGTAAAACGTATATAAAGTATAGAGCTTATTATACTGTGTTTTTGAGTTCTTGTCCCCTGGCTTGAATATCTTTAAATGGATGACATTGCTGAGAGCTACTTCTTTTCTCTCATTCTGCACTGTATTTTACAATATATTATTTTATTTTATTCCAACCAAATGGTTGTTGGGAATCAATTATACAAAGTAAGACTTATTTCATTCTAACATAACCCTGTTTGACTACTTAGCTTATATAGTAAGTAAGTAAGTAAAACTTTATTTATATAGCACCTTTTTGACACATAGATCCAAAGTGCTTTCCAAACAACAAATAAATAAA